AAATGTCTCATTTAATCATAGCTTAGGCTTAATAAATATGACTTAGATGGACTCTACTGTATATGAGTGAAGATTAATCAATCTAAAATAAAGAAAAACTAGTTCCATGGGTGGCCCATGTAGTGCTTGCTTTTTTAACTATCAATAATTTTCATTTTGACTTTTCGAATGTCATTGTCAATGTGGCAGATATTTAGTAGAAGGTTTTCGGTTTACAAAAGTTTAAGCTCGAAGAAAATTGGAAAATATTAAAATTTTTATAGCGATTTTAAAACGCAAATCTTTCGTGGGCCACCCTTTATATAAAAAAGGTACAAAAATAGAAAAACTTAAAGGTTAAACATAAGTAGGTCATATTAATAATCACCTAGTTACCTAGGTACCTCCAGTCAACCACATATAGAATATTTTAATAAGGATTTTCCGCTAATGAACCGCCCAAGGTGGACAAATTGACTTAAACTACATAATGAAGCGTTCAAAATGTAATCCCCGGCAATAACATACTCCGGCATAATTACATCACTAGTCAAATTTCTGGCAATCTCAGTTCGCAGCATAAGCCAACGTAAGGTGTTGTCTTATTTCGCATAAGCCGCTTACCATTTCCCATCTATATGGGCAAATCTCTGGCTCCCCAAAACTCCCCCACCCTTCCCCTCTCATTCTGACTTAGACCCCATTACGTAATGCATTCGAAGTTATTTGCCAAGAGGTGGAAAATCTTTGGGTGGTAAGTATGTATGTGTTCACTTTCGAAGGGAATACGAGACATCCATACCATCTCCCATACTCACACACACCCTGGCATAATCAAATTCAATTGCTCATTCAAAACATTAAACTGTTTATTTTTGGATGGGCGCAAAGGAAAAGTAGAGGGGGGAGGTCCTGAAACCCAGGAGCCAGGAGAGGCGGCTCAAGTGGCAAGGCACTTCATCATGCCGCCTAATCATTTGACCCACTTGAGAGTTGTGCAAATACTTTTTACGTTACGAGTCCCAGCCAGCCACCCGACCACCCAACACCACCACCCACTTGCCAACGCCAACGCCATCTCCATAGCCGTACGACACACGAGCTGGTCTAATCCTTTCAAATGTCGGAGTCACACAGTTGGAGACGATGGTGCTAGGAGACAGAGACGGTTGCGAGGATGATGAGCGAAAGATAGAGAGAGAGGGTTAGAGCGGAGTCCCTGGCAGTTTTGCATGCATGCAGCGGGAAGAAATTGGTGGGTGGGCGGATGGGCAGATGGGTGGATGGATGGATGGGTGGTTTTAGGGGTGGTGCACAAGTGAAGACAAGGAATTTGGAAAATCTCAGCTCAGTGTCAGGTTGCACGTTGAAAATTTGTCGTCATCGTGTCTCGCACACAAAAATGGCGTTAAGCATAGAATTTTGCAAAGGACAAGGTAAAAAGGGCTGGTAGAGGGGAGGGTATAAGGTGGGGTCCTGGCGAATGCGAATGAATGAATGGATGGCTTCAGGGGGGTTAGGATGACTACGGACTCCCGACAACCGACTACCGACTCTACGGACTCTACAGACAACGGGCCGGGGCCAAAGACAAACACATCATAGAAAAGGAGAGAAGAGGATGCGCCTTGGCTGTGGCTCAAGGATAAGGCAAGAAATAATAAATTATATTTTCCCTGATTTGTGTTCGTTGCCTTGAAGCATTCCCTTACTCTCTCTTCTTCAGCTCTCAGTACTGCCAGTTTTCCCTGCTTGGGAAATTATTTTGCAAAATTTACTTTTCCTCAAAAGCCGTAAAACAACAATAAAAATTATTTAACTACAAGCACTTTGAGGCTTCAGGTTTTTTGAATGAATTTTCTGTTGTTGTTTAATTCGAAACCAAAGAAGAGCATCGTCCCTCTGCTTTTGGCTCATTGGAAAATGCACTGCGCAGAGAGCGGCAAGCCCATGGAAAATGCGAAAAGAGAAAATATTCTCTTAAGCGGTCTTAGGGTTGCCAGCTAGCGTTGCAATTAAACTTTGATAAATGTTGTCTGAGGTGTTTTCCACCGAAATTTCGGTTCGGGTTGAGGGGTGGCAGTTCAATCGAGTGGCTGCAATAGTTCCCATATTTCCACATGACTTGCTATTTTCGCAGCCTTATTAGTTGCGCTTTTAAGAACGTTTATGGCAAACGCTTCTGGGGTCAGAGTTCATTGATAGATAAACATAAACTCTTGAGCAAACAGAAATGTGAACTGAACGCGTGGCAAATTTAATTTCAAATCCAAGTTTTTAGCTCCGTCATTGGGGTTTGGCAGTTTCGCTGCAAGTCACTGTCAAGGCGAAGCGCAAACAAAATTGCATTTTCTCTGGAAATTTGTACGGGTTATGGGAGCTTTTTTTTTTTAGTATAGAGGGTATGTGAAGTGGCAGTTTGGGGATATAATTGATATAAAGTTGGTAAATAATAATATGTTGCGTGCAATGTAAGAATCTGATAGGAGTTAATAGCAGGTTTAATTTCTTAAACTGGAAATTAGCTTCATATTTAGCTAAAGGGAATAATGGGGATTTCTATCAATCTATCCAAAATTCAACTTCCATAACTAAAAACATTTATAAAACTCTATTTTTTTAATTTTATGTTTATATAATATCCAAAATGTAACCCTAAAAAGGCAACTTTCTGATAGAAATAATATAGTTCTTCCCCCAAATGCATGCTATACTTTTTAAAAGGCAAGTCTCAGGTATTCTTTGGTCGTTTCAGTAGTTCTTGTTTTTTATTTCCTCATTTTTTTTTCTCCTGCAACTCGGGATTGTGGACTTGGGATTATCGCAGAGAAAAAATCGCATTTAAGTGGCAACAATTGTCAGGCAGATGCAGCAGCATCAACCCTCGGAGTTGAACCCGAAATCTGAACCCGAAACCCCTAGAGTCCCCTTCCTCGCAGACACTCTCTGCAGCAACCGCAACAACAACAACAACAACTGCACTATTATGACTATGCGTGTGACTGCAATGGCAATGACATTTCTTCCTCTCTCTGTCGCGCACATTGCCCTGACTCATTTTTCACATATTTTTCGCAAAGTTGAAACTATTTTTGGGAACGCACTGGGGTGGTAGTTTTTTTTTTGTGTTTCGGTAAATTGTGCTATTGTTGCTGTCAGGCGACAGGCACTCGAAACCTTTAATTGGTTTTATTTTTAATGATGTTTAGGCGAGACTATAGCCCAGTATATCCCCGATGAGATTCTATCCCTTGACTATGCCCGCCCACGCTGCAATTATTTATGTAAATTCTGGGCGTTGCATTGACGTGATTTATGTCGCCTTTCTTTCACCGCCAGTTTCCAGAGGAGAGTTTGCTGTAAAAACAATTAAACAGCTAATTGACTGGAGGAGTTCTACACTTTCCATATATACATATATATATTTCTATATATATAACCAAAGAAATGGAAAATGAAAGAGGAAAATATGTTGGGTCCAGAGGGCCAATTGATTTCGGTAGCTTCTTTTGTAATGCATTCTTTGAGTGCCTTCTTTCTAATGAAGTGCCGGAAGCGGGTGCTAAATAAATATTTTAAATTGAAATTTATTTTGGGCAAAGTTGGTTTAAAGTGCCATTGAAAGATAAGTTGATAGGGCAAACGAAATATCTATGGTAAATGGATAAAATGTTTGTAATAATTCATTCTAACATAAATCTAGTTTATAACTTGAAATTTATCAAATAAATATCTTTATATTAATGGCTGTATTCATATGGAAATTAAATAATTGCTTTTATTCATAAAATGTCTATTATGTTAATGTCTTGTTTTTTAGTTAATTAAACATTTTTTACTGCTCTAGAAATTGATGTTTTCCGCAAATTACCTAAATATTATGTAATAAATCATTTTTAGACTCATGTATTTATTTTGCAGTGATAAATTACACTTTTCTTATCTTACTTAAATATCTGCTTTCAGTTTAGATTTATGACCGCTGTTTAAATATACAAATGTGTAAGCTTAAAGATTTAAATTAAATATAGAGAGTAACTAGAACTGATTACTTTAATTAAGATTTTAATTAAGATTTTAAAATAATTTTAATAAATATTTTTATAATTTAGTTTATCTTTTAAGCATTAGAACATACAATTTGTTATTTATTTAGTTTAGTTTTTAGATCATAACTTTAAAAAAATTCAATGAAAATGACTGAAAAAAATAGTTTACTTTAGTAAAAACAATTCTCAATTTTTAATTTCTTTTTTTAATTTTTCTTCAATCTAGTCCGGCATAAAAAATATATCATACAACTTGCTATGTATTAAATATAGTTTTTTGATTAAGGAACTTCTTTTATATATTTTATAATATTTTTAGTTTAATTTTAATCATTCTTTCCAAATCACTTTCACATTTACATATTTTCTATATCTTTCCTAACTAAATACCTTCAAATACCAGCCTCTGACTCACCATTTCCCTGCTGATATCACAAATACATTAATGCTGTTAAATTGGCCCTGCAATTTAGCACTTGCCCCCCTTCACGATTGCCCTTCGCCATGCGCCGAACCCTTTCACCTGCACTCAGGTGGCACAACAGGTGTGTCCTTGTCGTAGGGCTCAAAGACATTAGTATGCTGGTGTATGTGTGTTGAAGTCAGGCCCTTCAAGCCGTCAGTCCGTCCGATTGTCACTCTGTCATGCCGTCACTCCGAACGCTTCAGTGCACATTAACACCCAAGTCAAGACATAATTTATAAGCAAATGCAGTTAAGTTTCCTCTGGAGGATCTCGGTTGCCGGCAATTGCGATGTAGTAGTATCTCATCTCCGAGAATCTGCCAAATGCCGCCAAACAAAAAATCAGAGAGCACAAAGAGAGAGAGAGAGAGAGGGAGAGAGAGTGAGTAGCTCCTCTCAGAGAGCGCAACTCTCTTGCTGGAATACCGTATAACACTCTCGGCTTGCCCGTATAACACGAACGATGCTGAAAAGGCATAGCCCTCAAATTATATCCTCGCTGGCGAATTTGCCGTTAGTTTGCGAGCGTTGGTCGTCAGCATCGGACGTGCGTCGTGGCGAATATATTGATGTTAATATATTTTATGGAAAATCGCAGCGGAGCGTGCGGCGTGCGTAAATGATAACGGAATTTTTCTCTTTAACTTAAAACCGGAGAAATCAAACTAAATATAAATTATATCAATTTGGCATTTCGTTTGGGCCCAAGTTTCATTCATTAAAACAATTTGCCCCAGACATGTTAAATACGCACAATAAATACGAGTAACAACAGGGCAAACATAATTAATTATACGCTGGCTGTTAAGTGCGTGGCGTGGCGTGGCGTTAAAATAAAAATCCAAAATTAATTGCATTTCAAGCATTTTTAAATACGCATCGAGTGGCCGCTGTTGTCAATCGCTGGCTGGATTTTCTGCGGTTTTACTGTTTTCGAGAACAAAAACAACAGCAAATAAACGGCAAAACTCTGAATTGAACTTAAGTGGAAGTGTTGTGGAGTGTGGCCAGCGTTTCGGTGGGTCGCTTGTTGTGCGCGCAATTTCCGGTTTCCGTTTCCGCCGGAGCAACGTCCCTGTCCGGCCGACTAGGCACAACATTAATTTGCCAGCGCCAAAAGAGTAATCACAGCTCATACCACCACAAAAAAAAAGAAAAAAAAACCATAATAATAAAAACAAATCCGAGTTTTTTTCCCCCAAGACAGAAAAGTTCTAAATTTCCGTCTAAAGAGTAGACTTAAGTTCCCAAAAAATACAAATTTGAATTTAATATACAAAAACTAAAGTGAATTTTGATCTTCTGGTTGGAAAAGGTGTTACCTACTTAACAGGTTAGTTTGATTTAACTTCTTTTATTAAAGAATTTCTGCTTGGCTTATGTGTCCTGAGATCCCTGAGTGGATTATTTATATCGCGAAATACTTTCGGCATTTAATTTCATGCCCAACGCCCAAAAGTATGCAGCAAGCATATTTCAGGCGTGGCAGGTTGTTGGCACAAGAAACGAAAAGAGGCAAAAACAAAACGAAAACGAAACGGAATGGAATGACAAAAGCTGTGTGTGTGTGCGAGTGTGTGTATGTGTGTTTTGGGTGTGTGAGTGTACAAGACAAGCAATAAAATGGCGAGCGAGCAGCAAGTTTTTGCGCGCCAAAAAGCGTGCAACAACGCGAGTGGCAGCTATGTTTATGTGCCACATAAAACTAGCGCGGCCATGTCGCATTGTTGGCTGAACGGAACAGAAGAAAAGACGGCGACACGGAGAGAAATTATAGAAAGAATACGTAAAAGTTGAAATTTTATGAAAGTTTTGATTAAAATATTTGAAAAAATATATTTTTGACTGAAGAAGAAAAGGCAAAACTATGCGAAATTATATTATAAATCTAAATTTAGAACTATATTTACTTTCTTTACTTTGGAAAAGGATATAAAGAAGTTTATATGAAGACTTAGTTTTATTAATTCCAAAAATAAGTTTAACCCAAAATTCTATTTACCATTTTTTCTGCCTTTTATGGCACATTAAAATGGAAATAGTTATATTTTCTGCATTTTAATGACTCAATTTTTTGATAGTTGGCAAACATAAGAAGTGATTTTTACTGTGCAGAACAGACCAAGGCGTAACCCGGGCGAAAAACCTGGCCTCCAGGCCGTTTTATTTTATGAACTTTTATTATGATATTTGCCTTTACTTCTGCTATGCGTTTTGCACCACTCACCAGTCCTGGCCTTAGTAAACAATAATCATAATAATCGTAATCACAGAGCAGAAAGCAGAAGGCAGAAAGCAGAGACCGTAGGGTAGAGAGGAGAAAGCAGAAAGCATGGCAAACAATGAGCCAAAGTCGCTAGCCTTTTTGTGCTGCCTGTTTTTAGGCGCCGTTTTCGCACGTGTTTGTTCGCACCTAGTCAGGCACTAACACTGGCACAATTGCATTCACATACACAAACGAACACACACACACACACATACACATACATATATACACATAAACTACATAAACTGGCAAAGAGGTCCTATTGTTGTCGTCCTGTCGCACTAAATTGCGCACAATTGAAAGCATACTTTCAGGCGCCCGAGCATTTAGTGTGCAGTTTTGAATGCCCTGCACTCCCGGCTCATCTCTCAACCTTATTTATCGCACTTCTCCTCTTAGAAAATACCCAAAGGACGTCTGCTGTTGGCCTTTTCACATTCTCTTCGGTTTCTTTTTTTTTTTTTTTTCATCTTTTCTTTATTTTTCCCTGTTTTTGGCGCAGTGTGTAAAAGGTTTTTATTATTAAATATGGCAGTGAGCATTAAATATTTCCTCGCTGTCAAGGTTTCAGCTTGAAGATTACCTAAGGGAATGCTTGTTTTTCGTTATATTTTTGGAAACACTTTGGCTCGTGTAAATCCTTAACGCTTTTGTGTGTGTTTCCTTAAGGCTGGGGCCAAAAATTAACTTAAGAGCCTGATAATTGGGATTTTTGAGAAAGTTTCGCTTGCCAAAAATTTCTCAACTTGGCCTAATTGACCTCAATTCAGCTAATCGATAATGCCTGAGCTGCATTCCGGGCCCCTTTGTCTTTGGCCATAATTTCATTAGATTGGCCTAGTCTACCGAAAATGTTTTCTCTCTCTCTCTGTACGCAGGCTTAATTAGATTAATGAAGAATAGGATTAGGTGAAGGGCCCCAGCCAAGCAGCTTAAATCAATTGTTCTTAGATATTTTCTTTATTTCCCTCCTCTCTTACTCTCTTAAAGACGTTCCCTTTTGGGGGCTTTCTTGTTTTCGGAGGGGCCATGGGGGGGCAAACCGCAGAAAGTCGCAAAGTCGTCGGCCTGAGTCCTCATTATGCGTCGCTTAGCTGCCATTTGCCAGAAATGGCCTCCAAGAAAATAAGAAAATTTCCATGCTTAAAGGAAAAGTCGACTGGACGTGACACACAACAAATTCACAGCTATTTTCCCAGCCACCCTCGGCACGCATTTTATATTTTCAAATTAATTCCAGGGAATTTTCTTTACTCCAGGCAACTTTGGTTTCGTTTTGACATAATCTATTATAAGAGCTCATAATAATTTTTGTAAAGTTTTGGGTTGGGGGTGGTCATGCTTTTAATTGTGGGCGTGTCGGGACTTAATGAGATCGCTTGAAACCCCCAAAAAACAATTTAAATGTTCGCCCAGGGAGTGATTCCAAAAAAGAAAGAAAATAATAATTAATATTTGCATGTGGCAAATAGGACTTATGGTCTTAAGTTGCCAGAATCTTTGAGCATTTCGCAAATGTACGCCAATACGTCAGGCTTAATAAATCAACGGGCATTTTAGCAAAAAGTTACCTTCCAAATCTCACTGGTTTGTGGTCCTTCCAAACACACATACAAACTCATAGCTTCTGACAGTGACTTATTATAGCCTTTACGTATATTCTTGTGTATGGTTCGTCATAAATTTCATAAAACAAGAACTCCAAAAGCTTTCCGTTTGTCTCGGCTAACAGGCTAGGGCGTGGGTCAAAGATTGTGAAAGTTGACAAAACTTTTAAATTTCAACCAAAAGTCAAACACTCACGCGTGCCGCAACATCAACAGATTATGTATGCTTACACATGTATGCTTAAAGCAGAGCTTAAGAATTATGTAATATGCTAAAAAGCAAAGGAATTTGAATTTATGTTTCCTTTCTCTTAAAGTATGGCATTTTTTAAGCTAGAATTTCCTTATAAAACGAACTGCAAATTTAATAAATCTTTCCAATCACAAGTGCATAAATTTTCGGTTACCCAGCACATCTATAAATTTGTTCATGCTTTAAACTTATTCTGCATATATTTCGTATATATATATTCCATATATTTGAATATTGTTATCCCCATTCGTTCCATCTCGACCGCATTCATGCATATTCCCATTTTGCACCCTCTCTTTAGTAACATGTCCATAAATTTTTCGCAATTTTTCAGAATTATTTTTTTTTGATATATATATATATACATATAGATTTCTAAATATTTGCTTTGCAATATTTTTCAATATTTTGCTAACGAAAACTAAGTCTATTGTTTGGCATATTTTGGCAATTTCAGTTGTTGAACTGAAGTTTAGCATCCCAGCAGCCCATGGCTGGCCCCTTAATGCTTTTAGCTAAAATTTTGGCCAGTTTGGGTGCCAAAAAATGCAAATTTAAAATGCGTTGGCATGTCAAAAATCCACACAGGAGGGTGCACAAAAACGGATGGGGTGAAGAAAATCGATAAACGAGACATATGAGTGTGTGTGGCTGTGTGTTAGTATATCCTAGTATCTGAGTATCTCAGTATCTATGAGTATGTGTGTTTGTGTGTGTGGGGTAAGCTTTTAGTATCTTTTGCAATGCAACTGCCATATACGAAATTTGGCAAACTCACAATGCCAGCGAAGTGGGGTATGAAAAGAGATAGAGCCAAAGCGCGCCAGAGAGAGAGAGTGTAAAGAGCGATAAAAGAGAGCCAGCAACAAATAGCTTAATAGGAAATAGCATAAAAGCATCCTCCCATCAGCCACCTCTGACCGACCGACCGACCGACCACCCACCGCCAAAAACTCCCATTTTACCCTCAAGGAAAAAAGCAGAGCAGAAAGAAAATCTTTGCACGTATCGCACTCAAAAAATCAGTAAACGCATTGGCATCTCCTTCAAGACATTGTTATTGTTGTTCCTGTCTGCAAGGGTTGACTCATAGGGTTAAAGGGAGGAGCAGCTGTGGTAGGGGGTTAAAGGAGCTGGAGCAGGAGCAGGAGCAGGAGCTAGAGCTGAGGGTTAATGCTGAGGATGCTTTAGCTTATCGGATAGCGTTTCGTAGCCATCGTTGTCGTTGTCGTCGTCTCCGAATATTTGGCATTAGTCAAATGCAAATTTTTATAGCTGCCTGTCTGTTTACTTGAAGCGCCGATAAGCCCGCGCATAAGCATATATACCAAATGGATTCGGGATGTGCCGAGATGGTTACTAGGGTGTGGGTATCGGGGCATGGGTTCCAATGGCAAGCTTACTCACTCTGTTCCTCTGCAAAGAAAGTCACTAAAAATTCTTTGAATTTCCAATAACATCAAGCCGGCAAATATGTTCAACTTTAGTCTGACAGTTGGCAAAGAGTTTAAGCCAAAACCAACATAAACTTATTATGCAACAGCAAATAGGAAATGTGGAAAAGTTATTAGATTTATAATTTTAATAATATTTTTATTATATTTATTTAGGCTTACGAAGTTCTTAGCTGTAAAAATGCAAGGAAAAACTTAGTTTTAGCCAAATATTTTAACCCTATCTGCTGCTTATCAGCTACCATTGGTTATTTTTCGGCTTAAAATATTTCTAATCAAGCTTAAATCCTTGTATTCCGCCAGCTTAAAAAATATATTTATGCCCATGAAAGGTATTTCATAAAAGCCCCTGAAAAAGCAATGCAATTTTTTGTCAAAGGCTATTTAAATTAGCCACGGCAAGTGAAATTTACGCCATGGATTATATAATACCAGTATTATTATTAAATAATATTTATTTGCGTTTTTAATTTCATAATCTTTTTAGTTTATTTAGCTTGGCTAAAATCGATTTGCGAGTTGGAAACAGCCTGCGATGGGGGCCAAATAATTTTTAAAGCTCGAACTTTAATAAACGAACAGCCGGCGCAACGACCTTAACCAGCAGCAACAACATTACCGCCTAACGGAAGCATTTCCCCTCCCCCCAAATCGCCCAGTAACCCACACAACAACACTCAGCCAAGCAGACACACACATACAGCGAACGCGTATCTTTACACTCTGCGCCTGGAAGTAGGCAATAAGCAACGT